CCCCCCCCCCGACCCCCACCCCAGGTCCCTCTCTGACTGGCAGCTCTCCAGCCACTCATCCCCAAGCCTGTAGTGCTGCTGGGGGTTGTTGTGGCCCAAGGGCAGCCCCTGGCATTTGGCCTTATTGAAACTCCTCCAGTTGGGCTCAGCCCATGGCTCCAGCCTGTCCAGGTCTCTCTGCAGAGCCTCCCTACCCTCGAGCAGATCAACACTCCCACCCAACTGGTGTCATCTGCAAACTCACTGAGGGTGTACTTGATCCCCTTGTCTAGATCACCAATAAAGATGTTAAACAGGAGTGGCCCCAACACCAAGCCCTGAGGGACACCACTCGTGACCGGCCGCCAACTGGATTTAACTCAGTTCACCACAACTCTTTGGGCCCGGCCATCCAGACAGTTTTTTACGCAGTGAAGCGTGTAATCATCCAAGCCTCGAGCAACCAGTTTTGCCAGGAGAATGCTGTGGGCAATGGTGTCAAACGCCTTGCTAACGTCAAGGTAAACAACATCCACAGCCTTTCCCTCATCAAGCAGGTTGCCCTGACGCAGAAGGAGATCAGGTAAGTCAAGCAGGACCTGCCTTTCATAAACTCATGCTGACTGGGCCTGAGCATCTGGTTGTCCCGCATGTGTTGTGTGATGGTACTCAGGATGAGCTGCTCCATCAGCTTCCCGGGCACTGAAGTTAAGCTGACAGGCCTGTAATTTTCTGGATCACCCTTCTGACCATCCTTATAGATGGCCATCACACTGGCCAATTTCCAGTCTGTCAGGACCTCCCCGGTCAGCCAGATCTGCTGGTCAACGATGGAATGTGGCTTGGCAAGCACCCCAGCCAGCTCCTTCAGCACACTCGGTGTATCCCGTCCGGTCCCATAGACTTGAATGTGTCTGTGCAATGCAGCAGGTCCCTGACTGTCTCCTCCTGGACTGTGGGGGAGGTTGTTCTCTCAGTCTCTGTCTTCTGGCTGAGGAGGCTGGATTCCCTCAGTGCAACTACTCTTGTCATTAAAGACTGAGGCAAAGAAGGCATTAAGCCCCTCAGCCTTTTCCTCATCACTCGTGACCATGTTTCCTCCTGTATCTAGCAGGGGATGGAGACTCTCCCAGGTCTTTCCTTTGCTACTGACATACTAATAGAAACATTTCTTGTTCTCCTTGATTGCTGAAGCCACATTTATTTCCAGCTGGGCTTTAGCCTTCCTGATTTCCACCCTGCATAGCCTCACAGCCTCTTTGTAATCACTGTGAGTGGCTAGACCCTTCTTCAAAAGACTGTAAACTCTCCTTTTTCTCCCTGAGTTGCAGCCAAAGCTCCCTGTTCAGCCAGGGTGGTCTTCTCTGGCATTGGCTTCTCTTAGAGCACCTGGGGACCGCCTGCTCCTGAGCCATTAACACTTCCTTCTGAAAGAGCACCCAGCCTTCCTGTGCCCCTATACCCTTCAGGATCGTCTCCCAAAGGATCCTTTCAAGCAGGTGCCTAAATAAGACAAAGTCAGCCCTGTTGAAGTCCAGGATGTCAGTCCTGCTTAGCCCTCTCCTGGCATCTCTAAGAACAGAGAACACTGTTATTTCGTGATCTCTGTGCCCTAGTCGTCCTTCAACCACCACATCATCCACTAGTCCTTCTCTGTTCACAAAGAGGAGATCCAGCAGGGCACCTTCTCTGGTCGGTCCTCTCACCAGCTGTGTCAGGAAGTTGTCTGCCACCCATTCCAGGAATCTCCAGGACTGGTCCCGCTCTGCTGTGTTGTATTTCCAGCAGATGCCTGGGAAGTTAAAGTCCCCCACAAGAACGAGGGCAAGCGATCGTGAGATTTCTCCTAAATGCCTGTAGAATATTTCATCCACCTCTCTGTCCTGGGTGGGTGGCCTGTAGTGGACTCCTACTACAACAGCTGCCCTGTTGGCCTTCCCCCTGATTCTAACACAAAGACACTCCACTCTGTCTTCACTATGCTTATGCTCGAAGCAATCATAACAGTCCCTCACATACACCACCACCCCACCACCTCTCCTTCCTTGTCTATCCCTTCTAAAGAGCTTGTAGCCATCAACTGGCACACTCCAGTCCTGGCAGACATCCCACCATGTTTCTGTAATAGCCACGACATCATAATTTTCCTGTTTCATCACGGCTTCAAGCTCCCCCTGTTTGTTACCCATGCTCTGTGCATTGGTATACATGCACTTCAGATGGGCCAATGTTTTGCCCCCTTCCCTTTCAAATCTAGTTTAAAGCTCTGTCAATGAGCCCAGCTAACTCCTGCCCCAAGATCCTCTTCCCCCTCTGGGACAGGTGCATCCCTTCTAACGCCAAACGCTCTGGTGCCCTGTATACCAACCCATGACTGAAAAATCTAAAACCCTGACAGTAACACCAGCCTTGGAGCCACCAGTTCATCTGTTGAGCTCTCCGGTATTCTTCTTCATCCATCCCCGCAACTGAAGGGATGGAGGAGAACACAATTTGTGCCCCCGACCCCTTAATCAGTTTCCCCAAGGACCTGAAATCTCTCTTCATTGCTTTAGGACTTCTCCTGGTAATGTCGTCGCTACCTACCTGAAAAACTAAAAGAGGACGGTAGTCCTTGGGTCTCACTAGAGCGGGCAGTTTTGCCGTGAGGTCCTTGATGCAGGTCCCAGGGAGGCAGCAGACTTCCCTATGAATCAGGTCTGGTCTGCATATGGGGCCTTCGACACCCCTCAGAATGGAGTCACCCACTACAATGATCATCTCTTCTGGGGTTCTTTTCAGAACTGGTTTTTAATATCTGCTCCAGAATGAACCGGCCTTGCTGGACCTTGGTCTTCCTCCTCGTTTGTCTCATTTTCTTCCTCCTTCTCTTCTTCATTCAAAAGTTCTAGGGCCCCAAATCTATTGTGAAGAGGCACCATGGAGGGTGAGGGAGGTTGGGAGGGGATTTTCCTGCCTCCCTGAGCAGGGACCTGTTTCCAGCCTCCCCTGTCTCTTAGGTCCCCTCCTTCTGCCTGGTAGCAAGAGGATGAGGAGTTGCCTGCCTCTTCTGGAGCCTCCATTTGCTCCTGTTGCTTCAGGGATGCCAAGGTGCTACTCCACCAATCAGTTTCCCGTTCACACTCCCCAATACTTCTTAATCTCTCGACCTCTCCTTGAGTTCCGCCACCAGGCTGAGCAGGTCACCCAGCTGATCGCAGTGCACATGGGTGCTGTCACTCTGCCTTCCGGCAGGACTGACAGGCTCAGGCACTCCCTGCAGCCTGGGACCTGGACGGCTCCATGTTTGCGTGGCAGCTCCGTCCGGGTCGCCACGTTCTTTCTGGTGGTGGTTTTGACGCGAGTGGGGACCGTGGTTCAGTCCACCCGTGGAGGACAGTAAGATGGAACTAGCTCAGGTAAGTTCTAGGCCCCGGAGAGGGCCTGTGCCCTGCCTGCTCACCCTGTTTGCCCGCCCTGCTGCACAAAGCGCCTCACCCTTCTGATGCCGCTCGCACCGCCTCCCTGTCGCTCGCACCTCCTGCCCTGGGCACTGCTCTTGTCTGTGAGGGCCGTGGGGTGCCGTTGCTCCCGTCTGCACCCACTCCCTGCTGCCCTGTCAGCAGCAGCTCACTATTCCTGCTCCGGGGGGGTGGCTTGAGCGTCTCCCTCCTCCCTGGGCTTCTGCCTTCGCGTCCTGCGGTTTTCCACGGGTTTTTGATGTTTTTAAATGATTTTTTTTTTTATGCTATTAAAAAAGTCTCAAAATAAAGAAAAGAGTTACTCTTTAGGACAGCTCAAAAGGTAAATACAACATTTCTAATTAACCACTAGAGTCAAGTTTACTGACTTTATCCTTTTTGTTATCCTTATTTTTATATTCTTAAATTGTTTAACCTGTTAATAAGGCCCTGACAAACTTATCCTTGCAGAAATTATCATAGCTTTTTGAGTCAGGACGTCACTGCACAAGTTTTATCCCTGTTTTCAATTTCACAGAATCATCTATCCTTGCTCACTTGTCATTGGTGCCTAAAGTTCTCCCCCTGTTTTGTTTCTATATAAAACTTGCTGACAGCAGGTATCAGGGATTAAAAACTTAGTGATCCTCCAGTTATTCCCATCAAGAGTGCTTATGAGATTCTTGGAGCACAAGAGAAAGTAAGACTACTTTAAACTTCCCTAATAGCATTAAAAAGTTATGTAACATCATTTAAAAGTCACATAGAAATCACAAAGAAAGAAACGATGAGGTAAACTAGTACTGATGAAGAGTAAAATAGAACCTACTGGTTTGAAAAACAAACAGAACAGATTCTTTAAAATATCAGTATCTGAGTCCATAACAACTGTATTCTCTAGAAACTATCTTGTTTCAAAAGCTCGTGTATTCCTTGTGGCAAAAATCAAAGCAGTAAGACTACAGGGTGCATGAAGAGCAAAACATACCCACCCTAGAACAGGGAGTAACTGTGTAGGACTAGGAATAATGGTGTACCAAGGAAGGCCAACAAGTCCCTGCATCCCCAGCCAGCTTCATGAGTGGGCCCTCCTGGGGACAGGGACCAAGGTAGCACACACAGCAAGACTTTTTCCCAATTGAGCCAGGATTTGGGAAATTCCCCAAGAAGTATTCCAGCCCTTCTCTAACAAAAATTGGAGTCTCTCCCCAATAAATGAGAGACAAGATAGTTCCAAATTAAACTGGACTCTCCAATGCTTCAGTGCAGAAACTTTCTATATGACTGAACATTACGTAACAGAATAGGCCCAGTTTTAACCACTGATAGTGGTTAAATGGAATCACTACTGGAACAATATTGACAGCTAACTACATGGAGGACATCACCATTACCTGAGTGAGGTAAATCGTATCTTTCAACTTCTTTATGGGATCTGTGCTCTGGGGAAGCTTGAAATGATACCCAATCTGTTGTAGCATCTGATCATTGCCATTTTCGTGATGTTGTCGATGGAGAGAAAAATTGCTTGTGTAGGACCAGTCCTCAGTGGAGGAAATCTTTTAAAAAACCCACAAAATAGAGAAATCAGAATGAAAGGCAAACTGTGCATTTAATGACTGCCAGGATATTCAGGAAAGTATATCCATTACAGCCTACTGACATCACCCAAAAGCTTTACAATTCGTAGTATATTTCTATAGTGCCTCATGCAGTCATGCAAGGATTTGGAATCAGTAGCACCCTTGCTTATGCTCCTTGACAAATAAATGAAAACAGACATTGCTGTTGAACCCAGAAGAGCAACTTCTGACTCAATGACCTTTAACTTATTTGCCCTAAGGTTCAGTTTGGTCACAGGACCTCAGGGTTTGCCTGCATTCATAGTAAATCAGAAACCCTAGGATTAAGATGGAAGAATGTACTCTAGTCAAACACATTTAGGCATAAAAGCTACAGTAGTTAGTAGGGCTATAAATTCTAATAATGTGTATATTTTCAAAACCTTTCTCTGAAAACAAATGATGGGAAAACATTTTTCAACTAAAGACCACAATGCAGCATAACTCACAGAGCTATTATTGTCAAGCTTTCATCGTAATTACAATACATTGTAATCTCTATGAAGTCTTTTCATTTAAATTTGTTCCTTTTTAGGCCAGATTGAATCATTTTCATTGTTATTAATATGGATGAGTGTACTGATTATATCTCAAATAATATACTTTGTCCAGCAAATTGAAAGAAAAGTTCTGAACTCCTTCTAGTTGCATGCATGACTATCAACATGATATTCATCTCTCTCTGAACAAATGGACAAACAGCATGTCTCTGCTCCAACTGGATAAATAATATTGAATATACAATACCTAAATTTAACAGGAGACAAAACAAAATCCTGTTCTATGCAACACATAAAGAAACAAATTATTTTAGTAAAATAAATTGGTAAAAACAATAACAATCAATAGATTTTGGAATTCCGCACAATTCAGCATTTGTCATGTTTTTTCTCTTTCTAACAAACATGTATCTTTACACACAGCAAAAGGAAACAGATGTTAGGCGATCATTACTAAGCTATATATTAAATACAATTACTATTAAAATTAATAGTCTCATAATAGTCTCTCATCTAAACTTGGTTCCTTTTGCAACGTCAAGGTAGATACACTGAACACTGAGGAGCAAACCAGTACAGTTTCATCCCCTCCCTCCATAGCAGCACACACCTCTAACCCACCCATGTCATAATATACCTAACAAAGTGACATTATCCCAACTATAGTTTGGATGCTGTAGTCTGTTGGGAAGAGACTCATTGCCCTCACTAAATGAGAGCAGGGAGGATAGTAAGGTGTGCAAGCCCAGCCTTACCTTTTCAATTGTACTGAAGGAAGGCCAGGATTGAAATCCATATTCTGAAGCAAAACGCGTTTTAGGATACACTGTCCAGTTCCAACAGTCACTGCTGTAGTCATAAAAGTGAGTGTCACCATAATGTGTATCATAAGGATTCTGGGAGACCCAACCTTCTTTAACTGACTCCAAGCCATTGGTGGGACTGGATGCTATAAAAGGACGACTCTTATCTTCCTGGGATTTAAAAACAAAACAAAACCACAACCCCCTCACAAAGTGATTGGCTTTTATCATCTGAATACATAGATCGCATTTTGAAAAGGGGGCAGGGTGGAGGACAGGGAGAACATGCCTTTTCCAAATATCTGAGTCACCACTGAGGAAACATTCCCTTTTGTCTCCTAACATTTATCATCTTTACTTGCTTAATTAGCTTCTTATTTATGTTCTTGGAGAACAGCTGGGCATGATATTGCTTGCTCTGCTGTTCTAAGGGATTCTCTCCTCACATCAGAAGATTTTCTATCTTTATATGCTTCTAAATTCTTAATGAAAGCTATTTAAAGTGTGCCTTGTGAAAAATAAACTCCAGGAACATTAATATTTGAGTACTGTGACTTCTTTATGGAAAATCATTACTTTTGCAGTGTTTTTGCAGGAACAGGGCCATGATTCTCCCCTTTCTTATTAAGTGGTCACCTAAATTTAGTCCTAACAAAGCCAAGGTATTCTGCTCCTAAAGCCTGCATGGTAGCATTGCAGGTTATTGTCATTTTGGCTGGGTCTGCATGTTAAGATAGATGAGACTGTAAGAAGGGTTACATTTCAAATTGTTCAGAGCTGCCTTTATTTATAGCCTCGGTAGATTTAGTATAATAAATCTTTTAGTAGTACCCTACAAAGTACTGAAGGAATTATTTTGTAGGTATAATTCATTTAGCACCCTACTTGTAGTAAGATAGAGGCCTGAGTTACCAGTCACAAGTTACAGTAATTGGCTCCAATACAGCAAAGCACTTAGACATGTGCTTCATTTTAAGAAACAGTCCAGTTTCCCCCTCCTCCTTTTTTTTTTTTTTTTTTTTTTTTTTTTTTTTTTTTTTTTTTTTTTTTTGACATAAGTAATTAAGAATTAACGGAAACAATTTACTACAGGATATCATGGATTCTCTGAAGTATTTAGCTCAAACTCACAAGTCTTTTTAAGTTATTAAGCATTTAAGTATTTAAGTTTTTAACTTATACAGTCCAGTAGTTACAGGTTTCCTCAGCTGGCTTGTATTACACAGGACCTGAAATAATTTCACTGTATGGTTTCTTCTGGCACTTCAAATAGTTATTCCATGGGTTTAAAATAAAAGAGAGGCCATCTTGGATAGAAATGCTACACAAGTGAACTGTAACTAAAAAACAGTATCAAGCCAGAACACCTGACTTTGCTCCACATGCACTGGTCATCCAACTCACACAGCTAATCACAAACAAGATTCTAAAACCTTGCCAGTTCCAAAAAACCTCACTGAAATCTAGAATCAAAATGTTAAGCAGGTGTAAGACATCACTGTCATTTAGAATGCAGAACTGCCCTCAAGAGCAGGATCCTTTTTGGCAGGTTCTTTCAAACCTGGCCTAATTTTTATTGTTTCCTCGTATCTCAACTTTTCCAGTAAGAATGTATTCTAAATTCTCAGAGCATAGCTATTGTGACAATGACAGTAGCCTCCAATAACAAGCAATAATATTGTGGTCACCTACATACTGAGTGCCTGTCTCAGCAAAGGGAAACTTCAGGTCATGAGCCTCATAACATGAAATGTATCTCATCCTGAAAAGGACAGAGATTAGACTAAAATTATCATACTCTGAAGTCAATAAGGTCATACTATACAAGGGGTAACTGGGTAGGAACATGCCACTAGCATTTTTAGGTTAACAAAAACTCATACTCTTGTTGAAGAAGCAAGTTCTAACTCTCACAACATTTTGTCTCTTAGCTAACAGGAGTTTAGAATACTCACCTGTGGTTCAAGCATTGTTTGTTAATCCCTAAACAGTTATGTGACATCAGTTTGGGACTTTTAAATCAATTTCACTCTACATACACACATAAAAGTTAGTTAAGAGCAGATTCCACTAAATAATGAAGAACTGCAATACTTCTAGGAGAAGTAAAACTACAAAAGCTGTGCAAAATGGTAGTACCAAATCACAGCAGACTTCATCAGATTCCACATGCTTCTGATCTGCATGCTCACAGTTTAAGTGTTCTCCCAAAATATTTTATTTTGCCTTCATATACTGTAAAATACCAGCAGTTTGTTTTTCAAAACCACACAATATAATGACTACACAGCATGAGGACAATGTTTAGCATCACTTTTGTTTAACTTGCTCAAGCCAAAAACTGGAAGAGCACATCTTCATTAATTTCAACTGCTATTAAAAGGCATGAGTGTTGTTAAATCCTTCTTACAGTATCCTTCAACAAAATCGGCATAAAGGAAATCTGATCATCTAGATTAATTAATTAACGGACAAGTTGATTTTTGTCCACTGGAAGTGAAGGCATTTGTGGAGGTATTACAAATAGGAATGAAAAAAAGAAGCAAGATCCACTACATTTTCAAGTCTTTCTTTACATATCAAAGTGTTAGAGATTTAAGTAATTTTTTTGTTTGTTTTACTTTGAGGATAATCCTTGAGTTTAGAGAGTTGTTTACAAGAGCTTGGAAAGTGCAATTCCTCAATAAAGTGCTAGTTTTCATTTCCCAAAAGGATTTTTTAAAAAAAAGAAATCACAAGTTGTTCAAATGGCAAATGTTAAAACCTTTTTCCAAGCCATATCCCCTTACAGTTTCTTGAGATCACTTACAGTAAGAACAATTTCTCGGATGTTCTTCACATAAAGCATCACATAGTCTTTGATATAGACTTCTCTGTCAGCATAAGGTATGGAGAACCAGTTGCTTGCAATTGCTGCTTCATTTTCATTGTTACCACTCCACAGAATAATTGATGGATGGGATTTTAAACGCCTTACCTGAAATACAAATTACAGTTTCAGAAGTCAAGCAAAATTAATTCTCTAAGAAAAAAAAAATCACCTTATTGCTACTTGAATTACAAGTCCACATTCATATTACATAGGCTGAGCCTGTAATTCCTGGTTTTATCGGCACTGTTCACAGGGAATCCTCAGCTTTCCACAAGGCTCAAACTTTTGTAATACATACTTAAAAAGGGGCAAACTTTTAATATGCTGACATATATCCACCATATGCACATGTGTACCTCCATTCTCATCTATTCAGCCACATGTGAAGGTAAATTCTGTGCTAAGGCATGTTGCAACCATTAGAGCTCACTCTCAGTGAATGCTCTTTAACATCCTTGATAAAGGGCAGTTTGGACATGAGGAATGCCTGCACCTCTGCTTGACTGACTACTCCTACAAGTAAGTTAAAGGGAATTTAGCAGGGTTACATTTTGTGTCTGCTACATAAAGGTACACTAACAAACACTTCCAAATAAACATTTTTGGAAAGCTAACTTGTACAGTCAGTCAATCAAAAATAGGTAATGTGAAATAGAGCTTCAACACACAAACAAGATACCTGATGAGAAACTTCTGCTCTTATGGATTCTAAATAATACTGGTCAGTTGGATATAGTGCACATGCAAACATAAAATCCTGCCAAATCTACAGGGAAAAGGAAAGAAAATAATTAAAAATAAATCTGTTAGCACATCATTTTACATACTTGAAAAATATATGGTTATTGGGATGCACAATCCTTTGCTCAGACAGAAGTTATTTATCTCAAAAAGGATTAAACTGAAATGTTCTACTTGTTATTCTTGGAAAGTTCCACCAAAACAATCAAAGCCTCCATAGGGTTCAGTATGTGCATACATCACTGTGGTTTTCCTCAATATCAGTGTTACAAAATATTTACCCTTAGGAATTAGATCCTGACAGCCTCCACTGAGGAGTGGAATATTGCTCAGTAGATGGAGTTCAATAATTTTCAGTGGAATAATTAGAACCCATGCACTGCTCAGATGTGAATGTGGGGCAATCTCCAGCTGAACAGAACAATTTTGTATTTACTATTTTGCAGGTGTAAAGAGACAGTAATTCTTCTGATGTGGTATCAAGCACACTTCACAGGTGTTCAAGTGTATTTGTTAACAAAACACTTGCATATCAAATGCGCAAACTAATCTTAAAAAGAGCAAATCTTACCCAGTAAGAAGGGCAGAAAAAAACCTAGATCCTCTAACAACACAGTGATTCTTCTCTTAAAAGAAAGATCAAGTAGATACCACTAGAGAACAGCAAGCCTTTCAATTCAACAATGAATGCCATTTGTACCTTGAAGGAGAATTACAAAAAGGGGGAAAGGAAGAAGCCCATTGAGTTGGGTAAGATTTCTTGTTTTACCTGTTCTGGTTTTTAAATTGCTGTAACTTTGAGATTTGCTATCTCAAATGGAAAGATCTCTTGAAGAAGCACATTAACCCAAAGGAGTCTGTAGGACACTTTTCTGAACACCGTACTACATAAACAAGAGAGGGTGAGCCAGATGATCTCCTCATACAACTGCATTTCCTTGCAGTGAGAGCATGCTTTTCCATGACACTTTTCAGTATACATTCCCAAAGAAAACCAAAGATAGGGAACAGGACAGTGGGAGGTAACAGATCCATTAATAAATGTTACACTCCTAGCACCAAAAAAAAAAAGCAAAGCTACTGCTGAAGAATCACTCAGAATCTTTCAGTAACTGTGTAGAGTCAAAACTGTTGAAAGAAACTTTCTCTGTTTCCCTCAGTGAGCTGTCACTGTTTTTCCTTAAGCACAGTTTGACTAATGCACTTTTAAACCTCTGAAGACCATCAGAAGAAAAAAAGGCAAAAGCCTCCAGCACCACCCCCTCCAGAATAAGGGTCTGATTTTCTACATCTACTTGCTATTTTGGCTGCTAAATAAGATCTAAATCTTGTATAGAGCACTGTACAGACACAGATCTAAGTGGCCTACTTAGGTGCCTAGTGTCAAAAATGAAAGAACTGTAAGTGCTCAGAAGCCCTGAAAATCAGGGCAGTCATTCAGATGACTAAAATAGATGTAACTTTCTTTTTTTTTCAAGCACACACAGCAGAAGGCAGCAAGGTATCAGTTCTGTTTCCCTGCTTTTTATGCTGTAGAGTAAGACCAAACATACTTCTTGGGATTTTAATACCAGATGCAACTTGGTCTCCACTCATCTAGTCCCTATTTCATCAAAATTTATTAACATGTGTCTCCAAGCTCATATAATCAAAGGTACTCATCTAGGATTATCAGTGTTTGCAGCAGGTATTCCCCTTACAGCTACAGTTATATTCAATTATATCTTATTCAAAACGGCCCTTTCGATAAGGCCTTCCATGCTTGGTTTCAGGCCAAGTGAAATATTTTTGTTTTAAAAGTTTGTACCAGAAAAACCCCAAACCTTTTCAGCTATTTCTATAAAGGAAAAAAAAAACAAAACAAACCCACAAAACTTTTAAAAGAAATAAAATCCATTTCCACACCAGAGAAAAGCATGACTACCTTCTTCAGTGTTTTGACAACTCAGAGGTGGCTGAAAGCACAAAACTCAAATACAGCAGGCCTTAAATCCTCACTGAGGTCAGATTGCAAAGCCTTTGCTCTCAATCTGAGGCATATACTCAAGCACTCAGATTCTTCAGGAGGGCTATTCTCACATGAGTTGGCCCTAAACACAGCTACAGGGCTCCATAGTCTTGCTGCTGTGGAAAAAATATTATTTGACTTTGTGAATAATCCCCCTCCCATGCACTACTTGTTTCACAACTGAGTTGGTGTTGCAAGTCCCTGTTGATGCCTACAGTCCACAAAAGTTCCTCTATCAGGCTCATTGTTACAGCATAAACATCATCTTCCTGCATTAAGTGACAACACTAGTACTAGTCCCTCAGCCGTTCATTTCTTCTCTCCTTCCTTCTCAAGATAGTAGGAAATGTAGAACTGGGAGAGATCTACAGTATATGAAGATGAGAGGTTTGGTCTGAAAAGAGGTAGAAGAGAGAAAGTTAAAGCCACAGTCCTGCTCTGGTTTTGGCAAATGAGGGGGCAGGAAAGACAGTGGGAAGAAAAGGAAGAGAAGATGAAGGGGAGATTCTGGGCTAGGAAGGAAAGTGGAGATGAGGAACAGAGTTGTATGTAGCCTTAGTTACAAGAGAAAGTACAAGCTGGGTTTCTAATATAAAGTCTCCAAAATATCACTTCCAGTTTCAACTGACAGCCTCAGTAATCAGGAACCATTCAAATTAAAGTAATAAAAATAAAAATAATCAGGTTGGTCTGACTTCTCAGGTTGGTACTCTACCATGTCCCTTGGAAAGATAGCTAGAATTTATGTATTAATGCTCTTATTTTGTTCATTCAGAGTGGATTTTTATTTACAAGTTCTTGTCAGCTTTTTAAATAAGTGTTCTGTGTCTATTGTTTTTACCATTATTCCTATTTCATCACAAATATCATAAAACTCATCTTGTTCATATACTCCTCCTCCCCAAACACGAAGTGCGTTCATGTTAGCATCTGCTGCAGACTTCAAGAGTAGCCATAATCTGTCAAATACAAAAAGAAAATTTATACAAGATTTGTGAAACTGTATCACTTAGGAGTTTCTAAGGTAATACAAAAAACCCAAAACAAAACCAAACCACCCAAACATCATTAGCAGGCAGTCTAAGATTTATAACTCTGATAAAAAACAGACTATTTTGATAACTTCTAAGCCTGCATGTCTGGACAGAGATCTCAAACAGCAATTTTTTGTGCAGAAAAAGTTACTTGGTCCTGTTAACACTTATGAAATAGATGGAGTGACTCATGCAAGTAAGTGCTTTTACAGAAGTATTGGCAGGACCAGATTTAGAAATACTATATTTTATTAATCGGGTTGTTCTTTTCTCCTTAGATATTACTTGTTTTAAGTATCAATCACTTGAATTCAAATCCTCTTTTAAACACGCTCAGAAATCTATATTCTCTTCCCAAGTTCTACAATGCATAGCGAGAAGTGGGGAGAAGAAAGACTGAGACTCTGAATCTCATTTTAAGGGATTCAGGCTCCATTAAGTTCTCCTTAATCATGCTGGCAGCCTCTAAAGTGCATGCGAATGTACACTGCAGCATGCCCTGTTGTGTGGTTCCCCAGCAACCCAGAGAGAAGCTTAGTCAAAGTATGATGTGGCTCCCATCCCACCGGCACCCCTGGGGTGTTGTGTTATCGAAATCCAAGAAGTCTGGACCAGAGGGGAGAAACAGGCTATTATGCACTTATGTCTCCCTGCATGAGATGGATTAGGATATGGATGAAGTGCACTTCCTCAGAGTACCAATGAACATGTCCCACACAATAGGATCAGATACCTGAGGATCATCCCTAAAACTACCCAAAAGGCCAGTAATTTGTGGACAGCAAACAACCACCTTCCCATCAGTTACTGGACTTACATGCCTTGAACATCACTCAAATCTATTGAAGCTAATTAAGCCTTAATTTTGAGGCCTCCAACCCACAACAATTAGTGTCATACCTTGAAAAGACTTCCATCCACTAATGCCACCCTTTGATAGAGGGTGGATAGAGAATCGGGATCAAGAAAACATGTTCCTTTCTCCCTAGAGAACATGAAATGTGGCTTACGTGTCATAGGTCACTCTGTCCTGGAAGGAATCTGCTGGAATCCAGTTTGACCCCTTAATGAAAATGGGTCGGCCATTGATTCTGAAGTAGAAGCTCAGACCTGGTGAGCCAGGAATAGGCTCCTGAACAAGTTCTACTGTCCGAAAATAGGCCTGTGAAAATATGAAACTTAGATTTAAAGCAGACAAAAATAAATAAAAATAAAGAAAAACATTACAAAAGGTATTCAACTGAACACTAACAACTTAGAATTTGTCAAGGAGCAAAAGACATGGTCTCATATCTAAATTCCTGCTTGATTTAAACACACTGTAACAGGGCTAAAAAGAATCCTTCCAATAAACCTGTTCACTTTTTAAAATCACCATTAAGAGAGAAAGCACGTACAAAGGAGCGTGCATGTGCACATCTGTATATAAGTAAGAGACAGGTGCATGTTTGCTTGCTGCAGAATTCAGCCTAAAGTCCAGCTGAGGGCCAGCAAGAGGAATACAGTGGTTGCATTATATCAGACACACTATTTAATCTGCAATATCTTCCTTACAGGAGACTGCAGCAGCTCAGCTGTAAGTCTTGTCCCTGAATGACTAGCTTCAGGTTAATCCAGTAAAAGCAAATCTCTTTTTGCTGCCCTGAAATGATACCTTTTTAATACATGTAGCAATGAAGAAGAAAAAGATATGCAAGCAAACACAAATGCTAGTTTGGAAGTGAAGAACCCTCTAGCCATCACAGATGTGTTTGAACAGCATACTTGGCAATAAGGTTTCAGAGAGACCAGTTCAGCTAAATAACCACTATGTAAGGTATTAAAGGTCATTCCAGATAAAAGCACATCTCAAGCAGAAGCCAAACTTTTACAGCTGCTCTTTTAGCCTAATATCTGGTATCGTGTACTGCAGATGGTGAAACAAGAAAACATTCCTCCTTCCTGCTGCAGGTGAAAGAAAAGTTCTCAAGAAATCATTCTGGACATTTTCTGGGACTTTACTTCAGCCAATACAACAGTGCTTCTCTGAGGGGTATCTTGATTGCACTGACATAACCAGCCAATTCCACAGTCATGAGAGAGCAGTTAGTTGACTTCAATAACACTTTGCACTGACCCCTTATTTGTAGAGGTGTCTTCCCCACCTGTCATGAGGCAGATGCAGAGCAGATTCCACTTTAGGTTCCTGTGCAGCTACCAAGTGCTACAGGAAACATCTCTTTCAGGGAGGCTTTAGACTTCTTTTTCTCCTGCATCCTTATTCCAGTTCAGTTTACCTAGGCCAGAAAGAAAACTCTTTTTCTTTCTGGTTCCTGTTGCTCATTGTCGTAAGGAGATAACTGGGAAATTAAATACAGTAAAGGAAAGCTAATAGCAAATTTCAGCCAACTCACATCAAGCAAGAAGTTTGGGGCAGGAACCTCATTTTTTATAGAATACCCCTAAAATGGCAACCACTCCTCCCTCAGATGACTATTTGCTATACCTTTTCAAAAGGTCAGCTTGTAGGGTACAGCCTTGTCTCTCTCTGCCACAAGCTACAGTTGAGACAAGTATCTGTTAGTAAATCAGGCTAAAATTAACCGAGTTAAGTGCAAGTGATATACTTGTCTTTAAGATAAAATGTAATACTTTCTTTCACACACCAGACAAGGCTGAAGTTCAAGTGGAAAATTACTAATCCCACTGTGAAACTGTGTTTTTCAAACTTTCAGTTTCTCAAAAATCATTCAGATAGACAGAAAATTATTTCTAATGGTAGGGAAGACCAAGAAAATCACTGCTTTTTTTGATTCCTCTTTGGTGCTTCTTAGTCAATGGGACAGTTATTCATTAAACACCTGGACAGAGACAATGCACATGACAAACTCGATGTGTGACTGGAGGCCGCAGATCACTGACCTCAAGCTAAACCCCTCTGCCTCATGGCAATTACAAAAACACAGGAACTGAATTATTAAAGAAAAGGTACTTGCCCCAAGTGCTCCAGTGTTTTACAGTGTTACCCCAGTGGCAACAGAGGGTTAGTGGCAAGGGGAGCCCAGCATCTGTACCACTAAAGAAATTCCCAGCTACAGAAAAACTACAAAGTCAGACCACTGAGAGGACATTTCAGGCTCTCTGTCCAATATCTCTGTGCCCATACATGTGCTGAGGACAGTGTGTCCTGCCTTTTTTCTACTGTGATCCTGTTGTATGCTGGGTTGGTTGAATATAGACCAGCATGATAAACTTAGCTTTAGGACAACAGTCTTACAGTCATTCCTAGAATTTTGCAGATTTATTTTAACATGAGAAGTTGAATTAAAAAAACAACCAATATTTCAAAACATTCACAATTATCCTAACTACTGAGGGCTACAAAAGAAAAACTACATTATGAGTACTACACTAGCAAAAAAATTCTGACCTTCCTCCAGCAAATTCAGTTACTTGGAGAAAAACTCCTCAGACTCCTGTGCAGCTCTTTTTTTGTGGCACAAAATGAAATGGGATTTATCGTTGGAGCTCCCAAAGTATTTGGGAGGTCCTCTTAATGGATGTCATCAGGCAGGTTGGGACTCTCTCAGAGTGCATTTGTAATGGAGTATTTATATTACTAACAGAAGTAATGTGATATCACTTTATTCATGCTCAAGTGGAACCCATGCAACTGGCCAAATCTGAGGCAATCTGAGAGGCTGAAACACCCAGCCAGGACCACCCACAGAGCAGGAGCAAAAGGAAAAGCTCCTCAACCCCATCTCACATTCCCAGGCCTCCAGGGTTTGGTGCCTTTGTGTTCCCACTCCAAGGGGCCCAGGGGCCCAACAAGGCAACACAGCACCTCTTGTTGTTCCTATAGCAGCTTCCTTCTGCCTTGTGGGGTAAAGAAGGGCAAGGGGACACAACTAGCATCTGGCATGCTTGGTTATGTGCCTTTCTGGCTACTGAGACCTTGGCAACCTTGAAATTTGTCTGAAAGACTTTGCTTCCTGAGGACTGAACATTTCTCCCAGACTTGGAGCACACAGAAGTGGCTCTCTAGCCACCACAGACCAATCAGCTGGTTCTGTGCACAACTAAGAAACAGATACCGTCATTTTAAGTCATATACAAATGCTTTGTACCCAGTTAAGTGACCTGTGGATCACATTTGGCATTCCCAGATTTAGCAGTAGGAAAAGTAATAGGGATGAAGATGCCTAGAGCTGAAATAAGATCACAGAACGCCCCAGTGACCTAACAAATTAGCACGCAGCATGAAAGCAGTGTGAAAACTACAAAGCCAAAAGGAAAGACTTCTGGAAGTCATGTTAAAAGGCCTGCGGGGGAATGAAGGTGTAGAGGGAAGGAGGAAAAGACAGCTAGAGGTTAAGATCTTCCAAGTACTAAAAAAGCCTTCTGAAATAAAAAACTCTGATTACAGTGTTGAAGAAATAAGCATACAGAAAGATGGGGAAACAGAATTGAAAAGCAAGCTAATGCCTCATGAGGCAATGAAAGAGGTAATAAATTCATAGAAGTAGGCATGACAAGAAGAAAAGCAACTTATTAATAGCAAAAAGGACTGATAGACCTTCCCTCAAGAAAACCAATTTAATTTTGAGATCATTTCTGGCTATGACTTTGTTTCACATTATCCTGAGAAACAAACTCTAAACCAAAGTATTCAAATAGAAAAACAAAATAAAACCAAAACCAACTCTGTCCTGGATGTTGGCTTTATTCTCTTTTGGTTTTCTGTTACTCTCAACAGGAGTAAGTACTTCCCTCAGCCAAAGAGGTTCCCAGCACAGCTGGACAGAGCTCTATAGAGCTCCTGCAAGTACATACTGGGAGGCTACCCAGAAATATTCCCAAAGGATTAGTTAATGTTTTGGAGACTATTTGTCATGGTTCAACTGCAGCCAGCAGCTAAGCAGCAAGCATCCACTTAATCATTCCTCTGCCCCACTGCCCTGGTGGGAAAAAAAGTAAAACTTATGGGTTGAGATAAGAACAGTTTAACGACTGAAAATATAATAATAGTAATGAAAAGGAAAACAAAAAAAAAGACAGAGAAATAAAACACAAGAGAAGACAAGTGATGCACAATGCAACTGCTCATCACCTGCTGACCAATGCTCAGTCAGTCCCTAAGCAGCAATCAGCCCCCCCAGCCAACTCCTCCCAGTTTATATATGGACCATGACGTTCTATGGTATGGAATATCCCTTTGGCTAGTTCAGGTCAGCTGTGCTGGCCAGGCTCCCTCCCAGCTTCTTGTGCACCTGCTCACTGACAGAGCATGGGAAACTGAAAAGCCTTTGACTTAGCATAAGCACTACTTAGCAACAACTAAAACATCAGTGTGTTATCAACATTAGTCTCATACTAAATCCAAAGCACAGCACTGTACCAGCTACTAGGAAGAAAATTAACTCTATCTTGGCCAAAACCAGGACACTAACCTGTCAGAAACCAGAGAGTAGTTCAAACAAAGGGTAGCTGAATCTGACATATGACCAAGCTGGGTTTTCTCACATATACAGTTCTCGATCTTTGGTTTTCACCTGTCCAAAGTTATGTAGATACTCATATGGAGACAAATCATTTGTGAAATGTCTCACCACTATTTTTTTTCTTTTTAAAAAGAGGCGGGGAGGAGGAAATGTATTCCACCTGAATAGGTGGACAACAGAACAACAGAACTGACAACAGAAAAACACCTTTCAGGAGCATTTATCCCTGACTGTATCTCCTGAACTACTCAAAGTTCTTATTAAGCCATAAGTTCTGCTGACATGAGAGCAAATTGTGCTAGAACATGAAAAAAATGCATAAGAAGTCTTTTTTCCACTCGTACAGCTCAGGGCAGGGTGGGAGGTGGAGGGGGCAGGGCGGGTGTCTGTCAGAATCCAAGACAGAGCTTCACAGAACACATGAAGGAAGACTAGACTTTACGCTGTGAATCTGTAAAGGCTTCATATGCTAGTTAATGTATAATGCTCACTATGTGGTGCATTTGCTTTTTTTCCCCCTCTTTCCCCTTAAGAATTAAAAAAGAAGAGGCTTCTGATTATCTTTTGTAGACCATGAATTCCCTATGATCGTATGCCACAGGGTTCTATGAAATATCCTGACAAGCTACCCAAGTGGAATCAATTAGTTTTCCTATCATTGTGCAGTTTTCAAAAAGTACACAACAGAATTGTCCTTTTTACATGCTTTATATCCTACAACCAGTTTTTCCAAGCACAATATGCCATGTTTATTTAATGTGGCTTTTTAACTCTTTTAAAATTAAATTGCTAATAATAGCAAAGAATTATTCTTATGACTTCATAATCAAACTAACGGCTACCCCTATAAAGACCTGGACTCCAGAAGTGACTGTTTTTCAAAGGATTTTTGACATGCACAGATGTTACAGCAAATAGTAGTTTTACATGCCTGGTGACCACATTAGATTTTAGTGAAGCAATACACATCAGAACCACCTAATAAATGTGCAGTTTTACTTGGTTCTTTCCACATGTTCATGGCATAAAGAGTGTAGTCTAATTTGTATGTCTTTTTTTTTCTTCCAGTTGCCAATTGAAAATAACCTCTTCTAGGCTTCTTAGTAAAAAAACCCTGACAATTATATAGCCAGTGTGTTGCAGGAACCCTTATGCAAATAATCCTTAAATATTACTTTTGTGGTCATATTTAAGATGTTGTCTCCTCTTAAGCCTATAGCACATCTATCACATCCTAATAAATCAATGTATGTATGTTAGCTTTTTAGGAATGTTTCTATCCCACAAAACTTTATAAATTTGAATTAACAAGAAAAATCCCAGTAATAAACCTTCACATAATCTATAGAAATCTAAAGGGGGGTTTCAGTGCATGATACAAAAACATCAGCATGATATATCAAGTTCAAAAGTACTTAAGAAGCAAACATTCTTTTCCTTTCTGAGGCTTCCAACTAAGCATAAGCCATCTCTCAGTCTGAATGCAAGTAAAGGCATCCATACAAGCTAAGGTTACCAGAAAACAGGTAAACATACACTGTGACATTAAAAACTACCTTGTTTCTCATTAGCATTTTCATATGCATATTACAATCCAGCAAAATACTTAAGAGCTCTAGATACCTTATATGCAGAGCAAATGTCCTAACAGTAGCACTGCAATACCAGCTATATCAAGCTGAAGGGCTCACCTTTGAAGATTTCTCAATCTGGTATCCTGCCTCCATGATGAAAGTTGTTGTCATGTTGTATCCAGTTTGCTTTCCATGTCCATTTGGCCACCAAGCCTCCACTGTAGAACTCTTGAACATACAAGAGAGAAAGCCAGAGCAATATGTATAAAAAGAGATGTAACACACATGTAGGGGCTCAGATATCAAAGAACCATAGAATGGTTTGGGTTGGAAGGGACCTTAAAGATCATCTAGTTCCAACCCCCCTGCCATGGGCAGGGACACCTTCCACTAGCCCAGGTTGCTCAAAGCCCCGTCCAACCTGGCCTTGAACACTGCCAGGGAGGGGGCAGCCACAGCCTCTCTGGGCAATCTGTACCAGTGCCTCAACATCCTTACAGTAAAGAATTTCTTCCTTAGATCTAATCTAAATCTACCCTCTTCCAGTTCAAAGACATTACCCCTCGTCCAATTCCTACACTCCGTGAGGCAGAGTCCCTCCCCATCTTTCCTGTAGCCCCCCTGAAGTACTGGAAGGCGGCTATAAGGTCTCCCCCAGAGCCTTCTCTTCTCTGGGCTGAACAACCCCATCTTCCTCAGCCTGTCCTCACAGGGGAGGTGCTCCAGCTGCCTGATCATCTTCATGGCCTCCTCTGGACCTGCTTGAGCAGGTCCATATCCTTCTGATGTTGGGAGCCCCAGAGCTACAAAAAGGACTCCAGGTAGGTTCTCATGATAGTGGAGTAGAGGAGGAGAATCCCCTCCCTCGACCTGCTGGCCACACTTCTCTTGATGTAGCCCAGGACACAGTTGGCTTTCTGGGCTGTGAGCACACACTACTGGCTCATAGTCAGTTTTCCATCCACTGATATTCCCTTCTCCACAGAGCTGCTTTCAATCCACTCTTTACCCAGCCTGTATTTGTGCTTGGGATTGCCCTGACCCATGTGCAACTTGGCCTTGTTGAACTTCACAAGATTTGCATGGGCCCACCTCTCAATCCTGTCCAGGTCCCTCTGGATGGCACATCCCTTCCCTTCAGTGTGTTGACTGCACCACACAGCTTGGTGTCATCAGCAAACTTGCTGAAGGTGCACTCAATCCCACTGTCCATGTTGCCAACAAAGATGTTAAACAGCGCCAGTCCCAACACCGACCCCTGAGGAACACCACTTGTCACTGCTCTCCACTTGGACATTGAACTGTTGACTGAAACTCTTTGAGTGTGACCATCTGGCCAATTCCTTATCCACCAAGTGGTCCATCCATCAAATCCATGTCTCTCCCATTTTCAGACAAGGATGTTGTGCGGAACAGTGTCATGTGCTTTACATAAATCCAGGTAGATGATGTCAGTTGTTCATCCCTCATCCCAATATCTTTGAATTACCACAAGCCTAATGACTTTATGTGACTCAGCTGAGCCATGATAACTGGAATCTCTCCAGCTGCAGCTCTGAGGTGAATATAATTTAAAGAGAAAGTATGATTTCTTCCACTGAAGTCCAGGCTATCACTTCATCTCGTGTGCATGCATGTGTGTGTGCTCACGATCTATTGCAGACACATCTGGCTGGTACCCCTTAGCTGAGGTACATTGACAGAATATTCCTCTGAAACTCAGATAACTGTGTCAGGAACAGAATCGTCCATTAGCATCTGTACCATACCCCTCCTCTCATTGACCCTTTTACCTATTGCATACAACATTCAATATACAGAGGTGACACTTTTCAATTTTTACTTTGATAATATGTGACCATACTGACTTTTTCAGTTATGTCAAGCTTTTATGTCAAATTGTAAGTTTCATTCTTTCTTTCAGTGTTTTCTGTTCTTTCTCTATGCTTCCTAACCACATAATTAGTACTCCATAATTTTTACAAACATAAAAAACCCCTACTTCTAGGATGACAGAATGATTTAATTTTCTCATTTTTCTAGCCACAGAGTAGTATTTATATATCCATTCCCACAGCCTACTTCTGCTGCTCAATCCTATTGCCAACATTTGCCAGTTGAGTGCACAACACAAAAATCGTGGAAAGAAAGCAATAATGCATGCAACCAAACAATGGAGGGATCAGCACTGAATAGAGCCATGTAAGGAGTGCCTCAATCTTTTCAAATAAAATGAGGCCAGAGAGCAGCCCAACAATATGTTTTGCTGTAGCCATACTTGGACACAATCATGGACGTATCTACTAACAGTTCAGCTTCCCCGACACAGAATTATCATAACTGCTTGTGCAGAAGTACTAATCTCTGTGTTGCACAGATACAAATGGAAGCACAAAATCAGTGTGTGCCTCAACAACAAGGGAGTGTTCGCAGACGCTTGGCATAGCTGGACTGTCTCATTGGCCGCTAATGATGTCATCCCCATGCTCACCATTAGCTGATAAGCAAAATGCTGTCAGGTTAGCAACACAGCACTCTGTGTGGCAATTGCAGGAAGACTGCTACGCATCTCGGGTGATACGCACCACTCAAACACCTACTGACTGCAACATACTCTTGCGATAAGTTCTCAACTACTAATAAATTTCTGGTGAGGACTCACTATTTACCATGTACCACCCAAGTCTGTCACACACAGTAAGGGCTCCATTAGGTTCATCGATACATGAGGACACGTTGCAGGGCTTCTTGTAAAATGATGTGAATTCATGCAGCAAAGCCTTTTGTGTACAAAGAATAATAAAACACTGTTGCCCCCGCTCTGAAGGAAGTGCTGCTCACAAACTTGCAGTCATACTCCACTAGCAGATTTCTTCAGAGGTTGGGGGTGGGGCAATTAAATAAACCAAAATAATTTTTGAAGTTTCACAGTGCAGTGCCTGCTTAATGTAATCCCCGAAAAGGCTAAACAGAGACTAATGACTGTTTTAAATGAAACTGGGTATGTGTAATTGGTCATGCAACTCACGTGTCAGATAACAACAGTAACAAAGATCATATGTTTGCATGCTTTTATGCTTTCATGTCAAAATAAAACAAAGCACATAAGTATGCAAGTCACTGAGTGTGCATACTAGAACATAAATACCCTGCTTGCCTTTAATATATTCTTTTTCTCCACTAAAACAACTGACAAGAGAACTTGAGAATACACACATAATGCATTCAAACTGTGGAAACAAATGCAGAGTTACACAGCAATAGAGAAAATCAGTAGAGCCAGTAATATATACAAAGGTTTGAGGGCAGACCCTCAAACGTTATTAACTGCCAGAATTGTCAGAAGCCCCAAATTCCTGCTCACAGCACACTGCTCACCCACAAATCTAACTGTCCCCTGGGGCAGTGAAGCAGACGGCAGCTCCTGTTATGCTGTTGGTGCACTGGAGAACACCATCAGCTGTGGCTGCTGCTGCACCTGCCAGGGCTCCCACCCTGCCCACTGGCCTGGGCCTGCCGCTGTCAGGTTCAGTTCTGCACAGGCAGCTCTACAAGGGCCCTGCTCACTGAGCAAGAAGCCAAGACAAAGCTCATGCTCCTTTTTACCACACTGGGCTCGCTGCGTAATTAAAGACACCTACCTATTTGTCAACTAGAACAGACACACTGATTTTCTTCATCTCTCAATCCTATATAACTTTTCTTAATTACACCTGTGTGATAAAACTCAACAGTTTCTAAAAAAACACAACCAAATAAATTCTGTAGAAGTTAAATGATGTTGGTGAATTAAGTCTGCCACTGGAGAGTTTCCCAACACACTCTGAAGGCAAGCAGACCAGTTGTTTCCTCTTACATCACTGGGGTGTATACCAAATTCATCATTTTCCAACTGAGTTCTCTCCTCATTTACCTCTCTAAAATTCCTCCTGAGTTTTGTCTATCCAAAAAACTACAAGCTAACAGAAGGAAGTACTACTCCACAAAATTTCCTTACTGCCAAACAAAATCTTTATAAGGGCTCTTTTGCTTTTGTTTACCTGAAGAGTATTTACTGAGAAGTTTGAGGAATGTTTCCCCTCCTTCCTGGGAAAACCATGCATACTGTAGTATATTCTAGTCCCAATCAGTCCAGTAAACAACAGCATGGAAGACAAGATACCTACTGCCAGTTAAGTGAAGTGACACAGAGTATCCAAAGTTTATCTACCTAAATAGCTAATTTAACAGTGACTGGTGATGATGTGATCTTTTCTATTTGCAGTAAGGGAAAGGCTTTATCATCTTTTTGACACACTGAGCCACACAGCCCCACAGACATAAATTTTTAGAGAGGAAAAGAACAATTTTCCTATCCTGTAAGGGGTACAGAACTCTTAAAAAGTCAGGAACACAGCAAGAAAGGGGAGGGAGGCCTAAAACTGGCATGGAGGCAGAACGACACATGGGAAACCAGGGGAATAATTTTGCAGTTGGTTAGGGTTCCACACACACCTCCTTACCTTGTTGATGTTTACAAGCAGCACAATGCTGCCTTCTCCAGGTTGAAGCTTCACACTGAATGTTTGCCGCGTTTGCAATTTGGGAATGTTCACAGTCACAAGACCTGCAATTGGCTTGGAGCTGACTACATCAAAAATAGACTCAATTTCCAGACTCCACTGCTGAGCACTCTTTTCTAAGTGAAGGAGGAGAAAAAAATGGGAATTCAGGAACTGTATTTATTTATATACTTATTTGTTAATATAATCTCTCACCAAAGAAACAATTAAAACACCTCATATTAAATGTAACAATTTTCAGGCTGTTTTTGAACCAGACCTACAAGGTTAATCTTCTTGTTTAGTGCATTTGATATCTGTGTTTACATTTGCTAAATCAGAATAGAACTACACAATATGATTTATGTTCTATAAATCTCTCTTTTTTTTTTCATTCAAAAGCCATGCAGGTGCTTTTCAGCGTTCTGTACAAAAATCAGAAATCATGACACCAGTCACTTCATTAGGAAGGATTTTTTTCCCACCAACTCCCATAGACATTATATTTGCTTTTAGTCAGCACTCGTATGAACATGGTACTCTTTGGGAAAGATCGTAATCACAAGGCAGTACAATCACTTTTGTCGATGAAACAAAAACAGTATTAACAGAAAACAAGCTGAATTCATCCCAGAGTCACTAAACAAAATGAATGGAGTTATGCTGGGGATGAATTGGGCCCATTGTGTCTAGACTTGACGAGCTGTATCTTTATGTCCCTTCTGCCACCAAAGTGTGGTGGAGGAAACAAGTTAATGACTTCCCTGAGATCTCTCTACAGTAATCTCAGACCGTCCTTTCCTTTACTCAGATTACTGAATAAGGCAAGCCAGGGTCAAGGGTACTCAAGATCCATGTGTAAATTTCCCATTAACTTCAGCAACTGAATTACCTATCTATAAACACAGCCTGGCTAATCCTATACTTCAAATATTACAGAAGGTCATCTAAGCAAAAGCAAAGAAAATGGAAACCAAGGAAAACTAAAACTAAGACATATTTTATATCCACAAACTACTAATCATGTACTTTCTCTATCCATGTATATATTCTAGCTCTTTCCTCTAGGAGAGAAAGAGAGCTCCCTCCAAGAGCAAAGAACTATATTCAGCCCTGGTGTGATTTCAGAGTCATTTGTAGAATGAATAGCAATCAGTGTGTTCCCAATTTTATATTACACCCAGCATTACCCAGGGAAGACCAATTTTCAGAAATATTGATGGGCTTAAAAACCCACACATCTCACAAGGATCAGCCATTACAGTAGTTTTCCCTCCCCTCCAAGGGCATATAGAAATTCCAGCTCACTCTTAACTGCACGAAGTGTGTGGGGTCTAGATGCAGAAATCAGGAACAATGAATCTTCAACAGACTCAGCGGTTAAAAAGCTATGACACCAAATCTGATGAGCAATATAACTGCAAAGGCCACTTGAATTCAAGTTGTTCATTTACTCTTTATTTTTCAAATGTTATTATGTTTGAATACTAATAAACTGACTCTGGTTCCAAATCACTCTGCTGAATGAAAGAGGTTTTGCTCTCTGTTTATCCAGAGAGGCAAGACTTTACCTACCAGAAGGTGGAGTTGTGGGAATGTGGGAGGGACCAGAAAAGATTTTTTAGTGTAGTTAAATTTTAGAGAGCACACAGACTCTGTGCCGGGGCTTTCCATGGAAATTCCAGTCACGTTAATTCTAGCTAAGACCTGCAGCTATTTCAGGAAGCTTTAAAAGCAGCTAGGGAGTGACGTCTTCCTCTTTTATTCATACACAACAACTCTATTCCCAAGGGCTGAAATTCAATCCAGTGCAGAGGACTCACGTGCTAGCCTTTACTCCACTGTGAAGACTGGGCTCAACAGGCAGTGAAAGCAAGCTGCGGGTGGTCTACAATGGGGCATATTACCGTTTACAGAAAGTTTCAACAGAAAATTAACTACTTTTGCTCAGCTGCAATGATCTTCAGGACAAAGGAGATGAAAATCAAAGATCACGTCAGGGGAGGAAACCGGTTCGGTAAGTTAGGTAGCAGGAATGCAGGAGGCTATCCTCTCAAATTGCAGCCTCAACAAATTATCCTTGCATAGCACCACTGCTTTTCTCTCATGTTGTGCTCTGAAAACTCGGCACTCTTGAAACTCTGCTCACTCTGCATTTGTCTTTCCAACACAAAACTAGACTCCCATATCAGCTTTGTTTGAAATGGAGGTGAGGAAAAAGTGAGACATATATTTATTGGGAGTCTTGGTGAAAACATGCCAATAAAAAAGAAAATTTTCAAAACAGGAGAGCAGGGGCTAACCTCAGCTATACTATACATATATTTCTGCAGTTATTCAGGCAAAAAAAGATTCTGAATGCTAACATTTCCGTTCACTATTGTTTGTACTGAAGGACTGTTTCAAGACCTAAAAGGGTGTGCTGTGGTAAGAACTATACAGAAAATCATAATAAAACAATAGCATCTTTCCTAAACTGACAGCTATTTAACAATAAAATTATTTGTATTCCAAAGGTGAAACAACAATAAACAGTAGCAACATGACTTACCAAAGAAAGAAGTCAAAGAAAAGTAAATCAGGTGATAATCGTTATAGGCCTCAATCCTAACATCTTTCCAGATTCCTTGAGTGGGAAAAGAAGGGCCCCAGTCCCAACTAAATGAACATTGCTCCTAAAATACAGAATGATTATGTTATAATTGCCTATTCTTTTACACAGAGATTGATGTTGTATCAGAAAAATTATTTACTATCTAGAAATAAAATATTGCCACGCACTGAAAGTATGTTTCCATTTCCATAAAAGCAGAAAAGGCTACAGTATTTTTCCTCTTATTTCTTGTCCAGAATTCTGCTGCTACTCTGCTGTTATTATATACCTATATTATATAAAAAATACAGTTTTGTATTAAAAATCCATGTATAGCAAAATTCTATAGTAGTGAGAGCAAAACTCTACCTAGCCCACCACTTAAAAGAAAACCACAGTGAAGATCAAAAAAACCCAAGCCAGTAAGTTACTCTCAATTCAGCTCTGAATGATCTTAGGTTGTAATATCAATATTTAATTGTATACCTAAAAGACAAAGTAAGCAGAAAAATACAAATGTTAAAGTACTCTAAAAGAACAGTATCAGATTCAAAATTGTGAGTATATCTGAGATACCTTATCCCATATTTTTTGTTGTAACACACCAGATTAGTACAAGGAAAGAGATGCATATGTGTGGTGCATTTGTGTAGTTCAGTCATGTTCGCTGTTTCTCCCCTTTTTATGGCTCTCTTATACAAAAACAAAGGGAACAAAAACATGGTTGAGAAATAGCTTAGTTCTGGTTCTAACATCAGAATAACCGTCAGAATTATAAAATGCTGGTCAGGCAGAGAAGTACCTACACTACTTTCCATTTAGTTGTTATCAAACCTGGTCAGACCTCGAGCTAACAAATCCCTTGGAAGACATCTATTCAGCTGCCCTCCAAGCTTCACACAGCCCCAGCCCCCAAAGCAAATACAATAGATCTCCTTAAAGTCTTGTACAGTGACCTACAGTTCTAAATTTAGAGCCTAATACAGCCGAGGCATACTAATTTTGGCAAACCACACTGCACAAGTCTAGCCTATCCCTGGCATTGCTGGAGTCAGCCTGCCTGCCTATCAAGTTGCAAAAGAGCCTTCCAGGAAGCAAGCACTGTACCTATTTCAAGTGTAAAAACAAGGACAACACATCCTTAGAAAACGAGTCAGATTGAAAGTCATTTTCCCTTTATAAAAAATAAACAAATGAATCACTTGACAGATTGTCAGGTTTCATTAATAATATTGCAGAGACCGCTATCAGAAGAACAATAGGCTTTGTATCGCTGAAGTACGTTACCAGTGAAACGCCTGCGTTTTGCCACAAATTCCTATTAAGATTTAGATGTGTTTACTGTACTTAATACTGAAACTCAAATGTGTAAACAGCTCTCCATTACTTTAAGATGGTAAGCAGCCAACTTACTTTAGCAATGTCCTAGTACGTTTGTTCACTTTTAAATGTGACATTGCCACGGTTGTTGCCATATACTTGGAACTAAAAATGTTTCTGAAAATGTCTGGAGCAGCTTCCAAGTACAGTCAAACAACTCCTTTGAGGAAAAGTACTAAAGTACTTTCTTACCGATTTAAAGGTATAGTTCAGTAAAGCATAAAATCATTTCTGCACTATAAATAAGTCTACGGCTGTTTAAGTGCCCCCTTCCTTCCAAGCTCCTCCATGCACTGATTTCTAAGAAACACAATGGACTCAGAAGAATTAATCTACTTTCTAATATGCAGTGAAAATAAAAGGAGCAGCAAGTAGTAATAAAGACATCTTAATCCTGAAGGATTTTCCCAGGACAATGGGAAATGGAGAGATGGACTCCATTCCATTAACAAATTTTAAAGGAAATCACATCCAGGTTTAGATTAACAGGATTCCAGTAATTTTTTTGAGGAGAGTCTAAAAGGACATTTTTGAAAAGATTAAAAGTTATTATCAATAATGGTGTTTAAGTGGAGACAAACATGCAAAACACCCAAAAAGATAAATTCCAAAATAAGATCACCTATCCATTGTCCCTAGCTGCTGCAAAGCTATCAGAAATATTCAGGATGCTAGTCAAATGATACTTTGCCTTGAGTAAGTTTTAACAGCAGTGAAGCTATGTCTTAAATCAGAGTTTCTGAGCTTCATCCATTGTGTATTACATTGTTATTTTCACCGAATATGTACTAAGTCACACTTCACAACACTGTAATAAGATGAGAACAGGTCCTCTGTTAGACACCACTTCTTGGGACATGCCAGACCTACCCACTATAAATAGCACAGCACATGAGCAATAGCAAACACAAAGCTGATTGACTGAGATTTTTACAACCTTGGCCTTGGCAATATACACTGCAACAGTGAGCTCTATCGTCAGTATACATTGCTAAACCCACCCAGTGGATCAAAACATAATGATTACACATTTCCCAGTGCTATTCTGCTCTCTTAGCAGCAAGTCTCCTTGCTGAAAACAGCCTTTTAAACAATCTTATCGCCTAGATATGAAGCCTGGCCTTCTTAAGCCTCTTGTATTATCAACATGCTAGATTACAGGGTTCGGGGGGGGGAATACAGATTCTGTGCCAGCTCTAAATAAAAGATTTGGGAGCTTCCTCACTGGCTCACAAAAAATCCCCCTCAGAGTGTCTGGATAGAAGGATAAATGTTCAGTTTCAGAATTATCCTGTGCTATCAAGATAATATGGTTTCAACGGCCAATACCCATTCCTTCTTCACAGTGTTCATTTGTGACCAGCCAAGTCTTGGCTATTTTTTCCAATTTACGAGCCGCCCAGCTAGCATCATTTATGTCTGTAGCGTTCAGCAAAAAATTACAAAGCAAATAGCATGCCCCATACAGAGCCTTCAGAGAGTCCTTCCTGCAGACATAATTGTCATGTGGAACAGGTGAACAAAGCAGAAGTCTGGGTCACAGTAATCCTAGACTCAATCTAAGAGAGTTCACTCTGGTTTTACAGTGAAGGACATTTCATGAACTGTCACAGTCTGAGACAGAATGAACTTGCAGAAATCAGGGCAAAATAATATCACTTCCCAGTTCCACAGAGCTTGCTACTGGCAATCTTTTAGATACTCTCCAAATAGTAAATAATTACAATTTCATAAAAGCTCTATAAAATGTCTTATTTTACAGATGGTTACACTAAGTCACAGAGAAACTAAGTGATTTGGCCCATGTCACATAGACCGAGGTGGCAAAATCTAGCTCTCATGGCCACTAACTCTGCAATAAAACCTGCCAGAATGGTAAACATGGAGATATAAATATGTCAGATTTCCTTTATAATTTAGTTATTCCACTAACATTCTTACTTTAACTTTTCCTTTTTTGATTATTTTAAGAGAAAATTAAAAGATTTTCCCTTATGCTAGTACCAGAATAATTTTATAGTTTAAAGCTATAAAATTAGTTTGAATGGTTTTGCCACTCTCAAGATCATTCCATGATGAGTACTCTCATGCTGACATAGGCTAAACTCAAAAAAACAAGACAATGTTATCAAAAGCCCAACATTAAAAATAAAACCCCCTATATTAAAAAAGTTATGAAAATACTTGCAGAGGCTTTGCAACACGTGCATTTTCATTTCAGTGTTCACATGTAAACCATTCTAATACCAATTAGTAAGCAGATTTGCAGATAATAGATTTAAGCTTATGTTTTCTTGGAGCTGTGACAGATCCCAAGAAGCAAGACTTACATTATTAGCTGAACTGATCCTCTTGCATGGGTCCACTCATTTAGAACAAGACACGTTCACCTCTAGATCTGACCCCGCTGCTACTGAGAAGGTAAGTACACTTCTCTTTCTAACAGTTATCTGATTATACATACAGTCCTCAGGTCAACACTTTCTGCACTCGAGGACCTATTTTTATGTGTATTTGAATGCACTGAAAGTGCTCAGCACAAAAGGGCTTTGAAGAAAAAACAGAAGCACCTTCAGAACAAAATACAGTACTTACATATCTGTTGAACATGTTGTCTGTTCTCCCAAGAGTTATATTGTTGATCAGGATCTGTGCTACTGTATCTACTCCCTCAAAAACTAAATTCACTTTCTGCCACTTTCTACAGAAGAAAACATATAAATAAAAACCATATTAGAATACCTAGAGTTAACAACACACATTAGACAGACAAATATAAAAGCGTATGTCACCATTATCTTTAGCAGCAGTTGTATCAACTACCTCCAAAAATGTTTATCTTAGTGTGGCTTTAAATAGTCAAATTAAGATGACAGCTGAAGTGGCTCAAGTCTGCAACACACCATGTTCACATACCCACCATATATCAGATGGGCTAGCTTCCAATTCGCCTAAGTATTATCCTTCCTTAGTTAGCAATTCATAAGTAATTTTTAACAATTAAAAAAATAGAAAAAAGCAACCACTGAAGTGTTCTTTAGCAACAACTTTGCAGCTGCATATTATTGCATAATTTGTTTTATTAGATACAAAAGTATTAAGTGGATTCTGAATTGATGAATTAACTAGCAATTCTGCATGAAAGATGGCACAGAACTATTTTTGACATATCTTTGCTGCATACCTGACATCAAAAGGAGTTTTGAATGTCCTGCTGTAAGTCCAGTTATCCAGTGAGATCCATCTATACGTCACATCATTAAATCTATAGTATGGATCCTAATAACAGGCCAACAAAAAGAAAATCACAAGACTTATTTAGTAAAGGTGTTACTACATGAAATGCATCATAATATCCATTAGATGAGCACTTCTTATTTCAGTCTGCAAATGCAAAATCCACCTTATTTAGTTGGTCCTAATATTCCCTTCCACCTTTGAAATAATACATGAAAGCTTTGATAATATTTGACTTTACTTACATAGGTCAAATCCATCCTCAAACTAGAGGGAGCAGGATTTGTTTTTACATAAGAAATGACTGGACTGGAAATGAAAAAAAAAAAAAAAAATCAAGACATCTTGTGACTTAATGAGAGGAACAGAAACATGATCATTCTCATAATGATGGAGAAAGTAAGACTAATAGGATTTTAAGAGGCAAACCCAGCATTTTAGGCCTCTGGAGACAGTAGTGAACAAATCTCTACAGTTTAAAATAATTGCAAATACTCCAGTTGTTTCTTGTCAACTAGTCTTGATGTGGTAAGGCTAAGTGAAGTTATATTTGGAAGGAGGGAGAAGAATGAGAAGTAACACAGTTTGGATTGTTGCATAAAATTAAATTACTACTTTTGATACTAATGCTGCATTTATATCGAATGTGTTCTCTTCCCTTCAGTCACACTACCCAGGAAAGAATAAAGGCACTGCTGGTCTCAACTATGTCCTCGACCTTTCTGGCTTCATGCTGTATTTATTACCTTATGGCGGGTCACAACAATCCTCACCTAGGCTGAAGGAATCAGTTATGTGGAGCTGACAACCCACTGCCTTGCACCTCATACAAAGGCAGCAGAAAGATACAGTATTACATCCCTATGTCAGACAGTTCAGAGTGCAGGTACCTGTGTCAGTGACTGACAGCTCAGTTCAATCCTCTTGAGCAGCTGCACAGCTGAACTGCTTTCCAAAAACAAAGACCAATCTCTTCTGGACTACATGACTCAAACCCAGCTAAGAGAGAGCATAGCTGCATTAAGGTTCCCTTTGATACAAGTCTTCTGCAGTACTGCACAGCTAACTATCTGCCCTGAATACTCAGATTCACACTGAAGAAAATCTCCCCGACATTTTTTTCTTTCTTGCTGAAGGTCAATTTTTCTTCCCATTTCAGGAGTCAGTATAGTTACTAAGGACACTTTTGGATTTGAAATCTTCTGAAAAACATTGTTTCATATCTTGTATTTGTCTTACAACTAACAGGATCAGGTTCTGTAGTATAAACACAAACCTGTTTACATAGCAGAGCAAATTTGTAACATCTAAGTGACTGTGATCTCTTCTGAAATCCCACAGCAACATAAACATCACTCCTTGAGCCCACACTGAGGGAAAGTTGTCGCCTTGCCTCTACATGCTATGCTCGATCAATCAAATTTCTTACTACAAGGCAGTAAGAGTCAAGAAGGAAAGGTCTTGTTACCTCAGTAAAACTATGACTTCTGTATTGCTAATGCAGTGTATTCTCTAAAAGTTAAGTCATCATGAACTTATCAGAACAACTACTGAATTTTAAGATATCCACACCATTAGTTTTGTATGCAAAATGCTTGGGGAATATATCTTAGACTTTTATTAAGATGCAAAATTCAAGCCTAATAAATGCATATTACAATGCAAAATTTAGGCTCATAACAGAAACTTCATTAAGATTACTGTATTGAAAACACAAAAGGCAAACGTCAAATGTCAGAGATCATGAAAACCCACAACATGCCCTTATAAAGCACATTTTTAACAACTGTCTAGCTTTAACATTAATTACCATTTTATTTTAGGTTATGCTTTGGAAAACAGCATGTTAAATTTCAACCATTACCACTTGTATGTGTGAAATATTCAAGCTGTAAATGCATTAGCAACAGCAGACTGTAAAGCCCAAACCAATTTAGTTAGTCGTCAAACAATCGACATAAGCACATCAGCAAAGATCAAGACCCTGAATAGAAGAAACCTGCACTGTTTCTCCGCAAGAGCATGGATATTAAGATGTTAATGAAGGACCTGACCTCTGAAGAACACAAAACTGGTTTTCTATCAGCAGAGAAATGTAGGAATGTTTCATCAGAGGAAGAAATTGCATCATCAGATGGGCTCTTACAGCCGTTTACAAACAGAACTGCTTGTTTAAATCTCAGAGCATACTGCAGATCCTTTTTCCTGAAGGGGCTTTCTTCTGTATTAGTCTGAAGCCTTCAAACTTCAAGAAATGCACTGACTGCTAAAATATGTGCCATGGAAGGTGCTAATTAGCTCTTTCTGACTCTCAGGAATACTGTTTCTTCCTCACAGGCATCCACTTTTTTAGATGGGAAGCTCCTAGTTCTGTGTACCTTTATATAAAATTTAGCAGCTTATTGATATGATTTCTACATCACTAGTAAAACAGCTTATATATCACACAGAAAAGCTGTTAAATGCTAATACTGGTTAGTCATTTTAAGCATGACAAATGTTGCTTGTTGTAAAATCAGTCATGTGGCAATATTCAAGTATTGCTTTTAAGGCAGTTCTCAAGGTTCAGGAAAAATTCATGACCACAACAGAGTCCTGTAAGAAAGGAAAACTGCTTCTCCAATACACTTGCAAGATTATTGACTTTTTCATTATTAAATGAAGCTGTTTTGAGTGCTGGAAGTTGTACCTATAGAACTCAAATGGTTTGGATTTATCTGAAACAGAATTTCATCCCACATTAAATCAGCTCACATTAAAATTAAAGGTTTATTTCAGAAAATTGGATTAAAAAAGGCAAATTTAAGACTCTTAAGGGCACTGGGAGAATTTGAAAGATGTTAGGAAATAGACGGCACATGTATTAAATATACTTCATATTCATTAGCCCAACGTGTTCCTGGAAGCAAGTCATAGAGGGCGGAGTCAACTACAGCTATTTTCAGATCCCACCAAACATGACAGCCTTGCAATTGTCCCACTTCCTGCAATCTGGGGGAAAATCTGAACCACTCAAGCTCCCTGCCTGTTAGTTCTCTGCTCACAACTTCAATGCTGTAAACAAGCAGCAAATCACCTGCTAAGAGGTAAAAAGCCCTGCTACAGAGTGTCAAAAGAAAGCAATTTCCAGTTCGGTTAGCAGGACATCAGCAGGACTTCAAAAGCATTGTCAGCACTCAAGTGAAGGCACTGCCAAGCGGCTAGATGGAAACTCCTTGCAATGATTTTAAGGGGATATCGAATACCTACAGTCACATAAGCTAAGAGCTTTTCCTGTTAAGCGGGAAACGGGTGAGACATGAACACATGAGAAGCGTGGGCTCAAAGCCCAGGTGAGTGAGTAGTGCCAGGCACACCACGGCCCCATGAAAGGCCAGCTTCAGGCCCCTGCACGACCGGGGGTCCAGGGGAGCACTGCGCAAACACCTGAGTGACCCTGGACAGTCAGCCTGATCCAGGCGGAAGATCAGCCTGTAATGAAATGTAATAAAGGGAACAAAAACCAGGTTCCTTTGCCTTACCTACGTTTGTTATGATGTAATTTGAAACTGTCTTGCATGCCCTTCTCCCATAAATCAACTCTACTGATATTGTATGATGTACACCATAATAAAATCCTGCTCATGTAATAGATGACCAAAATAAAACTTGCAAGTGACGTTTCATGATATACAGTGTAATGATTTTGCTGTTGCCAACTTCAGACTGAAAGCTAAATAGTTAAGATACTTATCTATATCTGTGCACTCCTTGATATCTCAAAGGATAGCAATCAGGACATTTATACAATTTTTGGCAAGCCCAGTTTCACATATTTACATCTTGAAGTCAAGCTGAACTAACAGTAGTGATGAATGGATGATATTCTTGGAACATGAGTGTTAGAGGTTCATTCTAAAGTGATTCATTTTCAGTAGTTACTCTTAACAGAGCAATAAACCGAATGTCACCTTATGCTCAAGATGTGTTACAGCCGAACAGAGCCAAATACTACTAAAGAGTTAATTAACAAGATATTAATACCCATTACTTGATATTATTTGAATACTCTGCCCTATTTAACAGGCTACTATAACTTTTATCTATTTTAAATTCACAAGCTTTTGAAAGATAAACTTAACTGATCCTAAATTTCACTAAGGCTTTTGAACACTTCCACCTATGTTCGTGTAACTCAGCAGAACACGTAAGCTTTAAGGGAAAATAATATATTTCTATTAATCAACTACATCATCAATGAATGCCATTTAACCTGTTAGAACCATACAATACCCACCGCAGCTGTTAACTGGCTTGCTCTGAAAAATCTAAGTTGCAATGAAGTGTCAGAAAATATGCAACAGCATATTTTATAGAAATGCAGAACAAGCTACAAAAAATAAACCCTACTTTGCAGAACTGCTGAAATATCATTTGAGATACATAAGCTTCCTCCTATTCTAATACATTTTAATATCCAAGTATGACCAAGACCACTGTAACCTTCTGTGTCAAGTGCACCCTTGTTCTATAACAGGGCAGAAACTGCAGTGTTATCCAGCCCCTATATTAGCATCACAGTTGCAAACCCCCCATAATAGTTCTTTACAAATCAAAGTGACAGCTAGAAAGACAAAACAGCCTTTCTGTATGAATGCAAACGGCTGGCAGATGAGAAAATCCAGCTACAATAACCATATTCATCAGAACTGAAATTTTATAGGAGTCACCTGCCAGAAGAAATGGCATCACACAGTACTTGGACAGTACATGCACAAAGATTTAATGTACAAGTTACCTGCTGATACATGTTGCTTATCGGAACTATGCCTGAAAGAAAATACTACACTGACATTAGTTAAGAACTAAATCTTCAGACAAAATGGTTTCTGCAAATCTTTTTTCCAGAGATGTAAGGTTAGTAATAGATTCACTGCAAGTCTGTAAAATGTTTGTGCTTATGCCCAAGCTTTGCACTAATTTCATTCAAGTGACAGTTACCTTTGTTTCTGTGCGTTTCTCATATCTTTTTTAAGTTTCACACGTAAATAGTAGTAAGAGCTATGGAGTCCTACTGACATGTTATTAAAACAACCCAACTGAACACATACTCTAGTGCTATCTCCTGCCTTTATAGCTTTCATCATCATTAATCCAGCATTTGAACTACTCTGGTTGAACATGGAAGAAAAAAAATACGTGCATTTGGTGCACTCAGAAAGATGTGTTCATCCAATGTATAGTTTATAAGCCAAAGAGCAAAGACATCTCTAGAATTAATCCTAAGAGGATCCAAAGATGAGTAACAACCCTCAGTGTCAGAAAGATGTCTATCAATTCAAATGTATGGCCTGCACAGTAGATTAAAGTAAGGCTACAGACATGCAATCAGTTAGAGCATCCCTAGGCAAAAACAGTTTGTGCATCGAGCTAAATTTGAAATGAACCACATACTGATAAATAAGTTGCTTGCTGCCTGCTCTTGCCATCTAATCCATATTTTGCAGGCTTAATATCCAGCAGCTTATTCTTGCTGCCCTCCTTCTCATTTGTGAGATGCCCACTAAGTTACATTGTTGGAGTAAGCCCTCTAAAATTTTGCTTTCAATTTCTGTTCTGGGTGCTAACCCATGAAAAATTCCCAAGGATGCAGAAGCAAAGGATGCAGTGCTATTTGCCATTTGCAAATCACTCAGAAAAACAGCGCATAGATTTCACTGTGTCGCTGAACATATGGGTCTTGCTATCCAGAATAATTTAGTTCCCACTAGCTTTATTCTTCTATTTCCTGGTGCAGCTTTTCAGACCAATCTTCACTTTTGATTACAAGCAGTGAGCTATTGGATTGCTGGTCTATTGACATTATTGGTAGGATGAATAGAAATCCTACACCCGATGGCAAAGAGCAAAAAGAGCAAATGAAAAAAAATACTCAAGAACAAAGCTTTTGTATTTAGGCAACTATAACAAAACTCCTAAATTCTACACTAGACACAACACCAAAAAGGGCTGAGTTCCAGAGATAATGAGCACTGAAGAAATAGAGTAACCAGTGCTCTATGCCTCTCAAATTCAGATGTGTGTATGCTTTTGTATAAACAGGAATATAGGAATATGATTTCAGGCAGCTGCATTTGAAAACATTTGGTCATAAGCATTTGCACCACAATGAAGAAAACTCAAGACAAACAGCTGAGCCACACTTTGCAGCATGAAGCCATGCATTACAATAACGAATTATGTCACTGACTCCCTCCAAACAACCCAGGTTTGCTGCTTTGCAGAATGCTATAACTATGGTGGTAGGGAATGATTCCATTTAACACTGTCTGTGACAGATTTGAAATCTGCTAGGGCTGTTCCTGTGTTTTGGTACACTCACCATTCTATCTTTTACACAAAAAAAAAAAAAAAAAAATTTAAAATAACTTAGTTGTCGTGGTGCAAATATTTGTGTGAACACTTCTTTCTGTAAACTGGGCTTTGCTAAACTGAGTAAGAATGGGTTTTAACTGATCTTAAGTTACCCATACACACTTATATATAGAAACAGGTTAGCTCATTCTGAGCTTGGAACTAGCCAGACACTGGCTGGGTCCAGTCCAGAGGTCAAGCAACCACACCAGTGAAGTATTTTGGTTAACTCAGCTCCTCAGCAGAGCATACTAATTCTAACACCACCAATTTAGCAACAGCTTCCAGACCACAGCGGGTTCATACTCGGCCATATCAGCACATGTTTGGAGCAAGTTCATACTTGTATTCAAGTAAATATGTTCTAAGTGTCCACCACCAATCATCATCTATTTAATTAGCCAAACACCCATCTACCTATTAGCAAGACCCATGCTGCTGGCCAGCAGGCTAACTAAGCCTCTGTGTAGGCTTGGGATTCTGCCAAGGCACGTGAGAGTTCATGACCGCAGTCTCATTTCCAAATATCATACTGCTGCTTAAAATGACTAAAATTACAAGTCAGTTTACAGCAATGCAACTAAATTAGCAATCATATTTTCTCACTTCATAAGAGTACTTGATGTGAGCAGTTAAATGTGAGTCTTTCATTACATCATTATCTTGTGTTCCTGAGTCAGTGCATTGGTCACAGTTTCTCCTGAATGACACTTCTTATAGCCACACCTCCCAGCACAGCCGAACAGCTCAGACGTTCAGTTTACCTTATTCACTTTTGCATAGGAGAAACTGGCAGTTCTCTTCACTGATCCTCCATATATAGTTTAACCGCCCGCTGCACTTTAAAAAACTTTAGAAAAGCCTTAATTGTGTATGTTCAAAATGTCATGTCACTTAGCACACAGATGTTGAAACACCAGATGAGCATGGCTCAGCTTATCCCTAGTATATTTACTTTTTCAATGTTGACTATTTCTTGTATCTGGCAGTGACACTCTCTGGAATCTATTATTAGTACCGGGATTCCCAAACTATGTCAACACAGAATAATGCTAAAATTATCCTGCCTGAAGTGGCATCACTTTCTCCTTACACCTTTCTAACTTTATTATCCTGCTCTGCTCTGACTAATCTGAATAAAAGTTAAAGAATAGAAAATATAAAACGCATGCACCCAGAACATATTTTTAAAATAAATACTGTACAAGAAATGCAACAGTGGGGCCACAATAAATACAATAGATAGGCATGTCTGATAGACAACATATGACAGTTTTATCAGTTTTACAGATGAGTTTGTTAACTTCACTGTTTTCTTTCTTTGTGCCAGGTACACATTTCACTTTCCACATATTTCCTTTTAAAAAGACATCTTAACAATGATCCAGTTAGTGCCAGGTTT